TTTTTAAAAACAATAAAGTCCTTGCCTTATCATTTCTTTCTAGTCCCAAAGTTATTTGAATCAATTAGAAAGTCTTTGACAGATTATGTTCGCCCATTGTTTTTTTTTTTTTTTTTTGTTATCTTTGGTGATGTATCTGTCTGGCCTATCCCTTTGGGGGGTCACCATCAAGAAAGTGTTATCAAAAGAAAACTTCCCTTTTCCGTTTGGGTTTTTTTATTTCACCAACTTTCGTTCAACTTTGTCCCAAATGACCATTCAAAGGGTGTGAAATTGTTGATCGCAATCGAGAAAGCCAGTTAATGTCTGGGCCAGAGGACAAACGCCGTGTATGGTCATGAACGTGAAATCGAAATGTGAGGTTTATGACGGTGCCAATGGAGATGGGAATGGGTTATATGATGGTATTTATGCCAGCATAAAAGGAAGAATCGATTGCAATTTAGGAAGTGGAAGAAAAACTGAAATCTTACGTTTTTTAAGGATATTTGGGAAAAATTGAAGAGAAATTGATGGGTTGTTTATATCCCTGCAAGAGTGTCTAATTTATATAAAAATATGTGGATATGGAGTTTCATATCCCTCGTTTTTGGTTAGCAGATACTAAGAATTGTTAGTGTATATCTAATCCAGGAAAAAATTTCCTGATCATTTACTCGGTCGGTTTCATGAATGACATCACCTTTAAGCAGCCCTTTCCAGGAAAACCAATTTCAATGACATAAACTACTTTTAAATAATTATTTTAAGTAAAATCCAGCAAATGTGCTACTAATCTCACTCTTGATGTTATCTAAAAAGTCAATCCAGAGTATAGTCAAATATATATTTGACACACACCCCTCCTCTCTCTGCCTCTCTCTAACTAAGGCCAACTGTCTGTTTAACATGGTATGTTACACACACACACAAACGTTTATCAATTGCAGCTTCTCTTTGTTTGTAAATCTTTGATTAGTCCGGATAGAAATTTACACAATCTAACACACTGGGTGTCATACTTGTGTCAGGATATCCTGCATAATAACCAGAAATGACTTTTGGCAGTATCACATCATATTTGATTAAACTAACCTACCTACACCGACAAACATACATACATATATACTTTTCTTTGTGACCAATTCTATATCCATTTGTATGGCAGTGTGTGTGTGTGAGTGAGTAGCTTGATGCGAACCATTCACTCTTACTGGGCCTGTCGAAGTCAGTTACATTTCCATTTGTTATTTATTTTGATTGGATAAATATGATTTTTGTGCAAATAATCAGGCCGAGTATTATGAACAGCAACAACAACAACGATAGGATGGACATAAGTTATTCACACACACACACACCCATACACATACAAACAAATTGCCTACAAATATTCATTTACTCTTTGAAAATGTAGCCATCACATCGTACATGACCGACCGATCATCTAACCATTGAGTCATAGATTTGATGAGGATATGGGGTGGGGAGGAAGAGAGAGGGGGAGTAGGATATTGGGTGTCAATATTAAATCTATCCATGTGCAAGGGAAATCTATCAATGTCTGTGTCTGTCTGTCATTTTGTGTTTGTGTTTATTTTCTCTTTCCTTTGATTTGTTATCAAATATGAAGTCTGCTGAGACCATTGTCGGAAAGAGAATTGAAAAATTAAATCAAATTTTGTGCCTCATTCGAAGGCAGTAGGTGGAGTAAGGAAACCATTTTAAAGCAGTTACAGAAAAAAAAGGGGCGGAAGGGGAGAGAGATAAAGGGAAACATAAACACTATTCAAAATTGCAAGTGAAGTTAAAGATTTTTATGGAAATAGGTTTTTTTCTGAGGACCTATATTTTTCAAAATTAATTGAATATTGGTTTTCTGTCCTCTTCGTCAGCAAAAACAATGCCAATCAATACGAATGAGATTTAAACGCTTAAAGAAATTCGATTGGACTATAAAATATATATTTGCTATAGAAAACCGCAGAAGGCAATTTTATATAAGAGAATAATCCAAGAACTCTTTTTAGGTATGGAATACTAGCGAAAAGCTTGAACCTGGAGAAATACATTTTTAGACAAAATCTTCGCCATGGCTTCTATGGAACTTTCTACTCAATTAGAGTTTGATCCGATTTCTCTTTTTTGCAGAAGACACTAAAACTTATTGCAGATTTTCGGTCAACAAAATATATAAAATGGTTATGAGACTAATAGAAGGAATATTCCTAGAAGCTTATTTAACCAAACCAGATTTCCGTAAAGTCAATTATCTAAGAATACCCCGTATAACGCCTTTAACGCTGAGAAATAACATGTATAAAATATTCTATCAACATAATATATACAGAATTACTTTAAAGGTGAAAGTGCTCAGGAAGGTCTTTAACCTTTAGAAGAGGCACCGAGGACCATATACATGTAGGATAGCATTAGAAATTGCTGTATCAGCTGAATAGATCTTCCGAATATATAAGGTCTCAACAAATCTCCTTAAAATAATTCGGAAGATCTATTCAGCTGATACATTAATTTCTAATGCTATCCTACATGCATATGGACCTCGGTGCAAAGGCAAAAAAACTGCAACCAACTTTAGACTGCTGTCATTTCTAAGCCACTCGTCCGAAAGCTGTTGAAATTATTCCAGTGACAGCTCATTATATTGTTTACAAGCGCACAAAGGCATTTTGGTGAGAATTTTCCAGAAAATACGTTATTCGTGATAGAATTCAAGCGTGATAGTGTGATTTCTTTATATTTGGCTGGAAGGCCACAAGTGGCTATCGTTAGAGCACTCCAACATTTAAATGTGAATAAATCTTTTGTGTCTCGTACCATCGCTCGTTACCGTGATACTGGTAGCGTAGCCCGACATATGTCAAGGAAGTGGACGGAAGAAAACAGCAACATAAGCAGAAATGCTTCGAAAAGTAAAGAAGCGACTTGATCGAAACCCGCGTCGCAGTGCCCTAAAAATGGCTCGTGAGCTGAACATATCGCAATATTCCATTCGGCAAATATTGAAAAATGAGCTCGGGGTAAAGCCTTTGAAATTCCAAAAAGTGCAAGAACTTACACCGCACCCGAAAGAAAATAGACTCATAAGACCAAAAGAGTTGCTTTGCTTGCCCGAAAGTAGCCGAATTTGGTTTTCTCCGATGAGAAAACATTCGATGTCCAGCAGTTTGTAAACAAACAAAATGATCGTGTTTACATGCCAAAGAGGTCAGCTGAAAATTTGCACCTTCGGTTGGCCACCAGAACTCAAGCATCGGCCATGGTGATGGTGTGGGCCGCCATAACAGGTGATGGTCGATCTCCGCTCGTATTAATCGACCGTGGCATCAGAATAAATGCAGAAATTGTTAAACGGTTACAAAATGAGGTTCCTTGCATTATTTCCAGCGCACAATGGCAACCAAAATCTCCGAATACCAATCCGTTGGACTACTGCGTCTGGAGTATTTTGGAAAGCAAGGTTGGCACTAAAAAATACCAAAGTGTCGATCACCTCAAGCAAGCGCATCGTCGCAAATGGGCCAAAATACCGCTGAGCAACACTCGGGCAGCGTGTGACGGTTTCATTGGCAGTTCGAAGGACATAATCCGTGCCAAAGGTGACCAATTCAAAAAAAATCTAAACTTATTCTAAATTTTGATGGTATTTCCACATTTTTTGCTTGACTAAAAAAATAAAAAAATGTGAAAATTATGGAAATTGACTTTGTTGCAGTTTTTATCTCACCCTGTATATCAAATACAGCTCAGAAATACATTTGCCAAATTTTATCGAGACCGGCTCAGATTTGGATATAGCTCCCATATTTAAAGTTCAAAGTAACTAACATTTGAGAAGAATACCCTCCTTTGAATCGATTGCTACTGAATTTGCCCATTTGGTACACAATTTAGTTGAAATCGGAGAAAGATATATCCGGCAATTTATTAGCAATCGATTCAGAGGAGCATATTCTTCTCAAATATTAGTTTCTTTGGACTTTAAATTGATATTATTTAGTTCTCACAAATTCCCTATAAACATTTTTTATGTGAAGCTCTACTAAATATGCAAAGGGGTGTAGGGTATCGGTATCGGGTGCAGGTAAGTCAGCCCGCCCTACTTTAAGACTTTCTTTACTGGCTATGAACCTCTTGGAGAGCATCAAATTATAAAAAAAAATAAAAAATGTAAAAATTATGGAATTTGACTTTGTTGCAGTTTTTTATCTCACCCTGTTATCTCAAAGGTCTTCTTTATAGAAGCACCGAGCAAGCCAAGAACGTCCGAGTCGCACTTCCGAGTATGCAAATTTTAATATGGTTTCTCAATATTTTACTTGAAAAATTGAGTTTTTGTTTTATGTTGACAATTTGTAAGTAATACAGGATTTTGATGATGATGTTCGGATTGTAAAAAAATTTGAAGATAATCGGGAATTCACATGAATGGTCGTTGGATATCCCGATATTGCAACAATTTTGCTCATTTCCAGCTACGTCGGTGCATACAGCACTACAAAGAATTTAACTACAAGAGATATCTGGAAGGAATACTATCCGTAGAAGGCACCTTGAGGGCCTTCTAATTTTTGAAACCTTTTGAAAAGGAAAATCTTTCACCTTTAAAATTTCCCTAAGAGGCCTATGAACTGTAGAAGACATATAGAAGATATTTTTACAATATACACCATAGATGCTGGTCTAATAACTTTGTAGACCCGTTGAAGTTTCTTTTATATGAGAAAGGTTTCCCAGAAACGCATTAGGTCTTTCACCAATAAATATTTTTAGGGCCTCCTATAGCTATAGAAGACACAACAAAAAAGGGTGGTTCACAGAATTCTACTATATGGTATTCCATAGATTTACAAGTTTTCATTCTCTAAGATCCCTTGTATGTGGTTATATCCGTATTTGGTGTAGAGTATTGCTGCAGTCTATAGGCTACCTTTCGAGAAATAAAACAACACACAGATTTTTGTACTTTCCATATAAAAAACAATTTCAATTTTCTCTTATCCGCTAGACTTAACAACTCGACTATTCTAAATTCAAATGTTTATATCTCTCCTCCAGCTGTTGTATTATCGCTTCACGCCGCCTTCGGTGTCGGGCCTTTTCGATGACAATGCATGTTGTGTCACTGGCGGCACCCGTTGTGGCCGTCATTGTCGTGGGTGTTGTGGGCGTGGCTGTACCAGTTGGACTGGTGCCCGTAGTACCCGTTGTACCGGTCTGGCGCCCAACTACATCATAATCATAATCCATACTACGAGTTTTGAAGCAAATCTCTTGTGTTTTAGGTTCTGAGGAAGAGCCAGCAGTGCTACCCCCATTCATGCCGAAGAGGCCATTGAGCCAGGTCATGGTTTCATTGGGTTGTGTAATCAGATCATAGATAATTGCCCCACCAACACCACTTGCCACGCCGAGACCAAAACCGGAAATGGCCGATATGGCTTGGGTCACTACACGTCCCTCGGGTACGGCATCTTCGCGGCCGGCTTTTTTCAATAAACTATAGACTTCATCGGGTTTCAGGGGCCGCAATTTAACACGACCAGCTGAGTAAGGGTTAAATAAATATAAGTAGAATATTTTCTAGCTTTTTCGGGTTATTTGTAATTTACCTTCTGCAATTAAAACTCCAATGGCCAAAAGAGCAGCCAATACCGCCAATTTTGAGGACCAACTAAAAAGCATTCTAATTTCTTTTTTGGAAACTTATTTTTGTAGATATGACAAAATCTTACAGCGACCAGTTTTACAACTGAAAGACAAACAACGATTTCTACGGTTTATATTAACTTGGTTTCTGGTATTAATCCATTCTGAGACAATGGATGGCAACAACAATAATTGACAGTTCAAAATTTTTTGTTGTTTTGTTTTTTTTTTTTTTTTTTGGTTTGGCTTGGTTTGACAACAATGATGACGAAGCCCCTAATTATGTGAATGAATGAATGGTTTTTCTCTTCGAAGAAAGTAGCAGCTTAGGGGGTCCATTGCAAAAAAACCTAAGTTTTATTGATTTTTTATGGTCAAAGGGTGTTATTAAATAACTAGATATTCGGGGGGGGAATGCGTGCCATTTGTGAATGAATGAAGTGACATTAACTACATTCGGAAAAAATGCATCTTAACAATGTGTTAAACTGTTAAGTATTTTATTAGATTTTTATCAACATTTATTTATGGTGCAGTAGTTAAAATTCAATAATTTGTGGTTAGGGACTGGAGAAAGAGAAAACGATTCCTGATATAAAATTTTTAAGATTGTCTTCAGTTTTTTCGTATGTGAGACATTTTCAAGAATCATTAGAAGGGTGTTAGAGATGAAGTTTATAAAAATAACAGTTGGAAAAATATTAGTATATTTTAGATCATTTTTGAGCCAATCCCAGTTCTTTGTACTGCTTCAATTTCAAATTACTAGATTTTAATATGAGAATGCCAAAAATTTACCTCAAAGGTCTTCTATACAAAAGCACAGACCTATTCAAAAATGTCGAGACCATCCTTCCGAATCGGTCATTTTTAATATATTTTCTCAACATTATACCTGAAAATCGAGTTTTTGTCGAACCTCCATTTTCCTAAAGTGACCTACCTCTGTGGTAATTTCTGCTTTCGTCGGTGTAGAGGTCTTCTACAGGGAATTTAGCTACAGAATATATCCTATCAATAGAAGACACCTTGAGGGGTGTTGTTTATTTTGCCACATGCCCATGATCATCAGAAGATAGGTTTATAATCTAAACCATAGTATGAGGGTATATTACCGGTTGGAAAAATATAGGTATATTTAATATAATTTGAGGCCCAATCCCAATACCTTCGTACTGCTTCCATTTCAAATGGCAAGTTTTTAAGATGAAAATACCAAGAAATGGGCGGCGACGTTATACCCCAACATGACAATAGATTGCTAATAAAATAATAAATTAAATTATGGCCACTTGGCACGTAACGGCAATTTTACAGTCAATTTTTTGGACAATGTGGCTGAAATTTTGACAGACATGATTAGGGGTGGGAGATCTAAGTTAAAAAAATGTCGACCTATGTTTGGTCAATCAACGCTCAATAGACTGACGAACCACCCAACCACCATATGCAATGCTTACACCACTTATCGTGGATTGGCTACATTCAGTAGCATAATCATAATATTTCATTAAGATAGGTAGATGCTGTATTTGAAGGCATCTACAGGGCGAGGTAAAAAACTGCAACAAAGTCAAATTAATTTAACTTTTATTTTTTTTAATTTTATTGAATGAAAGTAAAACACCCTCGAATTTAAAATAGTCGAGTTGTTAAGTTTAGCTATACAGGGTTTAGGTATACAGGGTGAGATAAAAAAATGCAACAAAGTTAAACGCCATAATTTTTAATTTTTTTTTTTATTTTATTAAATGAAAGCAAAAAATGTCGGAAATAGCATCAAATTTTAGAATAAGTTTAGATTTGTTCGAATTGGTCACCTTTGGCACGAATTATGACCTTTTAACGGCCAATGAAACAGTCACACGCTGCCCGAATGGTGCTCTGCGGTATTTTGGGCCATTCGCGGCGAAACGCTTGCTTGAGGTGTTCGACACTTTGGTATTTGTTAGTGCCAACCTTGCTTTCCAAAATACTCCAGACATAATAGTCCAATGGATTAGTATCCGGAGATTTTGGTGGCCATTGTGTGCTGCAAATGAAGCGAGGAACCTCATTTTGTAACCGTCCTGGGAGGTGCGTGCTGAGTTCGATGGTGCTGAGTCCTGTTGAAATGTCCAAGGTCTGCGGCCAAAATGTTTGCGTACCCAAGGCTTTAATACACCCTCCAGAATATTTTCGCGATTATTTTCGACATTCATTCTGATACCACGGTCGATTTACATGAACGGAGAGCGACCATCAGTTGTTATGGCGGTCCATACCATCACCATGGCCGACTCTTGAGTTCTGGTGGCCAACCGAAGATGCACATTTTCAGCTGACCTCTTTGGCAAGTAAACACGATTATTTTGTTTGTTTATAAACTGCTGGACATCGAATGTTTTCTCATCAGAGAAAACCAAATTCGGCAGTTCACCACTTTCAGTCAAGCGAAGCAACTATTTGGGTCTTTTGAGTCCATTTTCTTTCTGTAGCGGTGAAAGTTCTTGCACTTTTTGGAATTTTAATGACTTTACCCCGAGCTTATTTTTCAATATTTGTCGAATGGAATATTGCGATATGTTGAGCTCACGAGCCATTTTTCGGCCACTGCAACGCGAGTTTCGTTCAAGTCGCTTCTTTACCTTTCGAACCATTTCTGCTGATGTTGCTGTTTTCTTCCATCCACTTTCTTGACGCGACCACCATTAATGGTGACCATGTTTTTGATGTAGCTCCCATAGCACCCTAACCCTGATTTGGGCTTGGAAGAGCCAACAGAATCGTTAGCTATGAATCTTTTTGGTTTTGGAAACACTCACTCACTGCTTTGAGTGGGAAATTATTCATTGACACTGGAGCATAGACTCGCTATTCCACACTGGGCTCACCTCACCGTTCCTCAGGTGTATCGCCTCACTGTTCCAAAAGAGTTTCGCCTCACTGTCGTATAAAAACTTCGGTTCACTGTTCTACTTGAATTTCGCCTCACTGTTCCACAGGAGTTTTGCCGCACTGTTCCTCAGGCGTTTCGCCTCACTGTTCTATAGAAGCTGCGGCTTGCTTTTCCAACCGAAATGTAGAGCAATCGTGTGCAACTTGGACACAATTATCGTTATTCCCGAATTCCATTTGCCTAGCTATTTAAAATCGAACGACAGCCGATCTCTTTCATCAGTTCCCGATCATCTTCTAATCGTCTACAACTTCCGATTTCCGATTACCCTCAAATCGTTTGCAAACCGAACATCATAATCCTCGGTACTACTCACAAATAATTTACGTCGTAACTCTCGATCAGACACAACTCGCCAACATCCGATGACGAGCCACCATTTCCTGTTTATCCTTAAATCGAATTTAACCCAAACACTATCCCCGATTACTTATACTGCGTATACAACCCCTATATCAACATTGGCGTAACAAATTACCCCTAAAACGTCAACCACCCATTCATTCATCCTAGTTCCCAATTCGGTGTAAATTGGCAATTTGTGTTCCCAGTATGTGGGAAATATTATTGACAAGAGAGCCAGAGAGCTGGCCACATAAACCCAAGTTTTGGTTTAGAACCCATATAAATCTATCTCCAGATATTCGGTATTCTGATGTTTACTTCACACTTTTCACCAGAATTGTTTAGAACTTGATATTTGAGTTCATTAACAACATAACAACAGACAACTAAACTTTCCTTTTATTTTTCAAATAATCTACTCACAACTCCATGCGATGCTCCTATACGTACAGATGACCCGTTCAGACATAAGTTGGATTTGGGAGAACCTCTTATAGGGAGAACCTCTGATTAAAAAAATAAGTACTTAAATCGAAGCAAAAATATAGCATCTGACTTACCGATGAAAATTACCTGTGAGAATGAGCCTGGATTTGCCAGTTGCCAGATTTTCCGAAAGTGAAGTTTAACCTCGTGCAGGAATGCTCGAAGAGTAGGAGTTTTATACGGAGTTTTCTTTTCACTCTGACTCATACATAACCAAAAGAGTAGAATCAGCTCATTTTCGAGTAAATTTTGCTTACTGTCTAAAACGAGTGAAGCATGTTAGCTCTTATTGGAGAGACATCGAAAAATATTCGTCTCGTCTCTTTTTCTACTTCCAAGAGTGTTTCCTCTCTAATTTGAGCAAGTTTTGCTTTTTACTCAAACTCGGGAGAATTTTTAACACAAACATTTACCACAATATTTACAGATAAATTGTCAAACCCTCATTCCACCCTAATACATCTAAACCCAATCGACCTATACATATTGGAGTGGTTGTTTCTATCCGCAAAAGAGGCGGTTTCCCTAAGTTTAGAGTTTATCAAACGAGTTTAATGTAACACATTTTACATTTTATGTAAAAATTGATCTTTCGCCAATGGCATTTGCAACAACAACAACACTTTCTTCACCGAATAAATTTATGCCTTAGGCGTAAAAAATTTAAACGATGCGACATAAAAAAAAATTAACATAAAAAATATGCCTGAGGGCTTCGGAATTTGATTGACTTTTTCCAGCAAATTCGGACACCATTAAAAGTGATAAAAGCCCTGGGTGACCAAAGACCACTTTCAGTTTCGAAGATAAACATTTACGCCGGTGAAAAGGTCACAATGTTTTCAAGATGGTGGTGTTACAATCTAATAATTAGTTTAGTATTAGTTTTAAGTTTTACCCAAACTACAGTCGGAGGTAAATAAAATCATAGGTATTTTGACAATTTTTAAATATTTAATAAAATTTCACCTCTCCACAGCACGACGTGTTTTATTGCGACCATTGACTGCCAAGCAAGTGTATGGCGCCCTAAGATCAGCTGGCCGCGAAGATGCCATACCCGAGGGCCGTGTTGTCAGCCAGGGCATATCTGCCGCAACAGGTTTCACTTTGGGTCTCATTAAAGGTGTTGGTGGCACAATGTTGGCCACCTCAAATGCCACAACTGAATGGCTGAATAACCTCAATCTGACGGCCCACATACCCAATGTGGATCTATATTCCCTATTGCCCAATGTGAATTTATCCTTACCCAATATTGATTATTCCGCACTGATTCCCACCATCAATCTGACTGGTATTGACTATCATTCCCTTCTGCCAACCGTTAATCTTAGTGGCATTGACTATTCCGCGTTACTTCCCAATCTAAATATTACAACTCTATTTACACACAAGGCTAGCGGAAGCAATTCATCGGCCAGTACTTCGTATGTGGTCCAAGAGATTTGTTTCCAGACACGCAGGGCAGAGAGCAATGCTAAGGTGCAAGGCAGACAGGCTGTAACTAGTCCAACAACAACAGCCACAACAACTGGTGTGGGAACAGCTAGTCCAACAACCACGGGGACAGCAAGTCCCACAGGCACTGGAATGGCGACAATTTCGAATACAGCCAGTGCTACAGCAGGTACGTCTCCAACAGGTTTTTCTCCAACTGCAAGTGGCACTTCTACGACGGGAACTACAACCACAGAACCAAACCAAACCACGTGCATAGTCATAGAGAAGCCAGCGACAAGACGTCGAAGGCGACGCGCATTTAATGGAAATCTAAAGAGGAGCACTGTGACGTTTAATTAGAAGAAATAAATTATATTATGTACTTATTTATTTTTATTTATAAACAAAAATCTACGTTGTACGTTAAAAAATAGACCGACTTTTTCTCATTTAGCACCTCTGTCGTTAAGAAGTTGGAGATTGGTTTGATAACCAAAAAAAATTTTCTAGGTACATTTGTCGATTTCAACACTCTTACCTAACGAAAATGCTCATTACAAATCGGCTTATCGAAACTATTTTACTAATAAGGGCATGCCGCACGAAGAAAATATATTACTCTTTAATGGCTTTGGCCTCCATAAACCCTTATAACAAGTAAAACAGTATCAGTGGGTTTTCCGAAAGATGTATACCCCCAGCCTTGAGTTATGGTTTTTCTACATTTAGTTCACCCGTTATGGGGGAGGTTCCGAAGCAGTTGGCCATTATTGTCCAATTCGTATCTGACCTAAGACTGCTAAAAATATTGGAACGTGCCAGATTTGGACCCAGGATTTATATGAGATATGTGCAAATTTTTGGAAAATGTGAAAATTGGAGGAGATCCAGATGCGTATTTCTGATTTTATGACTGTTTTGGCTCGTCAAAACTTTCACCCTTTGTGGGGAAGGTACTAGAAGGAATGGCCGAATCTATATCATCTTTATAAAAAATCTTGTGTTGATGAAAATATTGAGACGTTCCAAGTCAGAAGGGATCGTGTTTCAAGAGCTTAGTGAATATTTAAAAATTTGACCCTTTGTGGGGGGGCGTACCAGAAGGAGTGGACCGATATATTCCATCTTCACACCAGACATTATACATTTGTGATATGTGTATTTTGAAGACAATCGGACACTTACATCACATTTTAGAATAGTTATAATGATTCAAAATTTTGAACCTTTACGGGGGAGGTACTGGATCAATGCAAATATTGGGATTTGCAAATTAGGAGCAAAATCGGATTATCCCTTAACTTCCGGCGCAGGAAATTATTTTCTTTGAAAATGTTGGCATTTTGAAGGAGAGGACCGATATTGCCCATATCCGAAATCGATATGAAAATATTAGGATTTGCCAATTTGGAGCAAAATCGGATTATCCCTTATCTTCCTGTGCAGGAAATTATTTTCTTTGAAAATATTGGGGGAGGTACCAGAAGGAGTGGACCGATATTGCTCGTCTCCGAACTCGATCTAAGTTTGATAATGAATGTGCGCATCAGACAGACAGACGGACGGACGGACACCGCTAAATCGATTCCAAATGTCCTGAAATGGATTTGGTCCAAAGAGACCTAGGGTCTAAAACCGTTTTTTTTTTTTTGATGAGGCACGTTTTGGCCGTATCAAATGATATATACAATCTCAAGCCATATGGCCGAGGTGTAAAAATAGATTGATAAGACAATATTTATATCCTCCGGCTACAGAGGGTATTTATCATTTATACGGCAAAAACGTGCCTCATCGAGATAACGGTTATAGACCCTAGGTCTCTTTGAACCAAATCCGTTTCAGGACATTTGGAGTCGATCTAGCAATGTCCGTCTGTCTGGCTGGCTGGTGCGCACGATAACTCTCGAAGGGAGTATCCGATTTGGTCTAAACTTGGTACATCGTAATTTTATTAACAAACATAGATCGAGTTCGGAGGTGGGCAATATCGGCCCACTCCTTCTGGTACCTCCCCCGCATGAGGTCGACATTTTCAAACGGATAATCCGATTTTGCTCCAACTTTGTAAATCCTAATAATGGACAATATCAGTCCACTCCATCAAGTACCTCCACCACAAAAGGTCGAAATTTTGAATAATTACAATTCTTAAGAAAGAGTCCGGTTGTTATCAAATAGCACACCTCACAATATTTTTATTAACTCAAGTTCTGGTGTTAAGATGGAATATATCGTTCCAATCCTTCTGGTACATCCTCCACATATGGTCAAAATTTTGAATGTCCATGAACCTCATAAAACGCGAAATTAACATCTGATTCCATTGAGAATTGGCACATCTCAATATTGCTGTCAACACAAAATATATAACAAAGATGGTGGAGATCGGACAATTGCTTCTGATACCTCCCCCACAAAGGATCAAAATTTTGAATAACCAAAACGATTATAAAATTCGAAATAAGTATCAGGCTCTCTTCATATTTCACACATCTTATTATTTCAGCTAAAAGGAGATTTGTTGTAAAGATGGGATACATCGTTCCGCTTCTTCTGGTACATCCCACACAAATTGAATATGCGTGAAGCTCACAACACGCGAAATTAACATCTGATTCCATTCAGAATTTGCACATCTCAATATTTCTGTCAAAACAAGATATGTAACAAAGATGGTAGAGATCGGACGATTGCTTCTGATACCTCCCCCACAAAGGATCAAATATTCGAATAATCAAAATGATTATAAAATCCGAAATAAGCATCAGGTTCTCTTCATATTTCACACATCCCATTATTTCTACTAACAGAAGATCTACTGTGAAGATGAAATATATGGGTCCACTCCTTCTGGTACACCCCCCACATATGGTCAAAATTTTGAATGCCCGTGAAGCTCATAAAACCTGAAATTAACATCTGATTTCATTAAGACTTAGCACATCTCAATATTTCTATCAACACAAGGTCTATTATAAAGATGGTAGAGATCGGACGATTGCTTCTGCTACCTCTCCCACAAAGGATCAACTTTTTGAATAACCAAAACGATTATAAAATCCGAAATAAGCATCCGGTTCTCTTCATATTTCACACATCCCATTATTTCTGCTAACAAAAGATATGTTGTAAAGATGAAATATATGGGTCCACTCCTTCTGGTACCTCCCCCCACAAAGGGTCAAAATTTTGAATATCCATGAAGCTCATAAACCGCGAAATTAACATCAGATTTCATTCAGACTTGACACATCTCAATATTTTCATCAACACAAGATCTGTTATAAAGATGGTAGAGATCGGACCATTCCTTCTGTTTCCTCCCCCACATAGGGTTCAAGATTTTGAAAAAGTAAAACGCTCAAAGAAAGCGAAATAATCACCCAACTCTCTTCAAATTTAATACATACATATTTTTCTGCTAACACAAGATCTGTTGTGAAGATGAAATATTTATCGGATAACCCCTCCTGTTACCTCATCCACAAAGGGTTACAATTTTCAATACTTTTATCGGTCATAACTTGGGTAACAAGTCAACGATTCTTTACAACTTGCTATATTTTTTATATTTCTCTCAACCAGAAACCTGAGATGGATGTGGGATTTATGATTTGGCATAAAATTGGATATAAATGTTCGATGTTCTTGTAATTTTCTAAATATCAATATTTTTATCTGTATTAAAATAGAATACTTCGGACATTCTGACATTTTCTAAAAATTATCACATACCTCATACAGGGTTGTCCATATTCGACCCATCTGGCAACGCCATAACTTTTGACAGAGATGTCACATCGCTTAATGACATACCGCGTTTGAAGCGTCAGTCCAAGCAGATTTTTACCAGAAACCAATACACGCCAAGCGAGCCCTCTGAAATAGTTGAAATTTACATTCAACAGAATTGTGAAAACTCAACGTGCTTTTAAAAATGTGAGAAGTGCGCCTTCTAAGAACACCATTAAGCGTTTATACGAAAAATTTTCGACTGGTAAGACTCTTTCTAATCTGAAGAGGCCATATAAAAGTCGACCAAGGCGATCGGCCAAGAATATCGCTGCCGTACGAGCCAGTGTTGAGAGGTCCCCAAGAACATTCCAAAAACCCCGTTCTCAGAAGTTGGGCATGGCTCGGTCCACTTTACAACGGATTATTCGCATTGATTTGCATTTGTTCCCGTACAAAATTCAATTGACGCAAAGAATGTTGCCTGCGGACAAGCCTCGTCGATTGGAATGGGCCCAAAGAGTCATGGGTCGGTCGAATAATGGCAACCCTGTATAAAGTGAAGGAAGTAGTCGATATAGTCCAATATTACATATTTATTTATGTCCGATGCGAAATGGACAATATTGGCCCTTTCCTTTGGAACCTACTCCATAAAGGGTTAACATTTTGAATAATCATAGAAAAAGAAGAAGAATAATCGAACATTGTCTGAGGGTATACATTTGTCGGCAAAACCGACTGATACTTTTTAACTTGTTTTTTTTTTTTTAATTTTTCTAATGGAGACACTTGGCTCCTGGATATATTTTCAAATGAAATAAAGAGCTATAGAGCCTTTTTTCTTTACATATTTCTGGACATTGGAACTCCAGGGGGTTATATTTTCAAAATTAAAATTTAATTTTGAATGACCTTGTGCAGCAACCCCAATAGCTTAGCAAAGGCTATTTTCAAGGCACTTATGCCCTCCCAGTTTTATATGCAAGAGTTTCATCACATTGTGAAATATTTTTGGCACAAGTTTTTAATTAGCATTTTTTATTTCTATGCAAATAATCTGCCATAATATGTTATCTAATATTTCCGCATAGCTACTATTGAAATAATCATTTCACTGGAATAAAGTCTTAAATTGCAAAATACTTTCACTTTCAAGAAAAGAAAAAAAAAAACAAATCAGCTATTTTCTGCAAAAAAAGCACCGAACAACTTTCTTTTAGTCATTTGTTTTGATAAAAAAAATGTTTATCTCAATATTTTAATGATCTATCAGCGACAGTTAAGCGTGGCAACAATAGCCCCACACATCGAATACAAGAGACACCGTTATGTGATGCGTAAGGTGTGTGTTTGTGTGTCTCTCTGTCTGTCTAATTTAAGACCGGTTCACAAGTTCAAATGTTAATGAATTACCCACAGCCCGACACAGCTTGTCTCTGGGTTTTTGTTGGCGAGACCAATGGTTTGGGGTCATATTAGTGTGTTTACATTCTTGTTGTTGTTGTAGCTGTCAGGTTGAAATTCGGTTTGTTTGAAGACAGTCCAATTGGATACATGAGACAGCGGCGGTAGGAGTAGCAGAAAAAAACCATCTCCAAGAGAAGTCATTAAGGGAGAGTAACTTATGTCAAGCTGTGTTTTCCACTTAATAATGACGTAAAAGATGAAGATAATGATGATGATGTGCTGTGCTGTGTAGGGTTGTGTTGGTTGTGTGAGGGAACAACAACAACAACATTTAGAAAATTAACAAACAACAATATCTGTAGCAAAAACCCAGATCACGTCATTAGCAACAAAAACAAGGTATCAACAAAAGGTAAGAAAACATCAGTCAGGCCCAAAACATCAATATGTCCCCTCGCTCCCTTCAATGGTCATGGCTTGATTCTACTTGTTTAAGACCAGACAGAATCGGAGAGCTCATTAGCATAATTATTTACATTTTACCAAAAAGAGTCGGCTCCAACTGACAGTCAGCCAGCCAGTCAGATGCTGCCTCACTTTATGTTCCAGCAAATTTGTGTTTTTAGCTGGGAAAAGGGATACCATGGGCAACGAGACCTGATGGTGGTGGTGTTGATGGTTTGGCCAAGGGGAAAGGTAACAAAGACTAAATAGTACCTTTGAATAGGAAATTATTTACATTTTTCTTTGAAATCCTAAACGACAATAAAGAGATTGAAGGAGATTGAGATGACGACATCTCCGCGTTGTTGTGTCAAAGAAAACTTTCCAAGAGGACGGCTGTTCGGCCCAGAAAAACACACATACACACACACACCTTCATGAGAAAAACTTTTCTGCATGAAATTAGATTTTGATGACACTTTGCCGCTGAGTTGGGAGAATGGGTGTTTTCGGAGGATGAGGCGGAGGAATAATTAGTACAAATTGAATAATATTTCATTCGTTCATTAAAATTGCAATAATTTTGAAATAAAAAGTAGAGAGACATACATACGCCTTCTGCCTTGGACTATCTTTGCTATTGATAGCCGGACTTGTTTGTGTACCTGAGAACATAGATCAAAAACTATCATATTATCTGAGAATGGTATAATTAAATTCCCCTCAAAATTTTTAAAGACTTGAGATTTAGCATGGATTTAATGCATGTTGAAAGCCCCGGCTCATTCCAGGAAAAATACTTATTAAAAGTCTTATTACCAACCCATTATTTCAACAAGGGCAAGTCGCAGATGTTTTTGGTCCACTAAGTGTCGGTTAAATAATTATTTACGACTCTGACCACTAAAATCGACGTATATTCAAGGCTGGTATTCACATAATGTTAGCGTCATATGTAAAAGATGAGATGAAAAAACTGCAACCAACTTCAGACTGCTGCCATTTCTAAGCCACTCGTCCGACAGGTGTTAAAATTATTCCAGTGACAGCTCATAATATTGTTTACAAGCACACAAAAGCATTTTGGTGAGAATTTTCCCGAAAAAAAGTTTTTCGTGATGGAATTCAAGCGTGATAGTGTGTTTTCTTTATATTTGGCTGGAAAACCATAAGTGGCTATCGTAAGAGCATTCCATCATTTAAATGTGATTAAATCTTTTGTGCCTCTTACCATTGCTCGTTACCGTGATACTGGTAGCCCGTAGCCCGACGTCAAAGAAGTGAACGGAAGAAAACAGCAACATCAGCAGAAATGGTTCGAAATGTAAAGAAGCGACTTGATCGAAACCCGCGTCACAGTGGCCGAAAAATGGCTCGTGAGCTGAATATATCGCAATATTCCATTCGGCAAATATTGACAAATGTGGTCGGGGTAAAGCCATGGAAATTCCAAAAAGTGCAAGAACTTACATCGCAACTGAAAAACAAGTAAAAAGCCGAACTTTGAATACACTCCACCATTTGGAACGAATTAGAAAATTAAAAAAAAAAAAAATAAAATCCATTAAAAATTCTGTTAAAATCCTAAAAATACCGATATATAGGGTATATACGATATTGTGGACCTATATGGACAAATCTATTTATGGGGGTAAAGTACTCACAAAGAACTCCTTGCGTAGAATTTCAGAAAATGACATCGAAAATGTAAATAAAATAATCAAAATACCGAATATCAGGGCGATATCTGGGGCTATACTATATCGCGGACCTATCTAGGCAATTTTCTTTCAAGGGGTAAAGAACTCACCAAGAACTCCTTGTGTAGAATTTGAGACAGTTCCAACGAAAAATGTGGCTAAAATAATCAAAATACCGGCGGATACCGCTTTATGGGGGCTATACGATATCATGGACCGATATGCCCATCTTCGAACTTGCTCTGCCTGCAGACAAAAGACAGACCTGTACAAAGTTTAAGCTTCCTGTCTTAATTCGTTTTTACTGTAGCATGATTACAACAGATGGACAGACGGACAGGGGGACGGACAGGGCTACATCGTTTTAGAATTTTACGCTGACCAAGAATGATGAGTTACAAACGGAATGACGAACTTAATATACCCACCATTCTATGCATGGTGGAGGGTATAAAAATAGACTCAAAAGAGCTAAAGAGTTGCTTCGATTGGCCAAGAGTGGTGAATTGCCGAATTTGGTTTTCTCCGACGAGAAAACATTCGTTGTCAAGCAGTTTGTAAGCAAACAAAAGTATAATTTTTACTTGCCAAAGAGGTGAGCTGAAAATGTGCATCTTCGGTTGGCCACCAGAACTCAAGCGCTGGCCATGGTAATGGTGTGGGCCGCCATAAGAGCTGATTGTCGCTCTCCGCTAGTATTAATCGACCGTGGTATCAGAATAAATGCCGAATATTATCGCGAAAATATTCTGGAGGGTGTATGAAAGTCTTAATGCCACGCAAACATTTTGGCCGCAGACCTTGGACATTCCAACAGGACTCAGCACCATCACACTCAGCACGCGCCACCCAAGAATGGTTACAAAATGAGGTTCCTCATTTGCCACCAAAATCTCTCGATACCAATCCATTGGACTATTGCGTCGGGAGTATTTTGGAAAGCAAGGATGGCACTAAAAAATACCAAAGTGTCGATCACGTCAAGCAAGCGCTTCGCCGGGAATGAACCAAAATAACGCTGAGCAACATTCGAGTAGCGTGTGACGGTTTTTTTGGCCGTATGAAGGCCATAATTCGTGAAAAAGGCGACCAATTCGAACAAATGTAAACTTATTCAAAATGTTGATGCTATTTCCAACTGTTTTGAATTGCTATATGGAGAATAAGGGAGCATAAAGAGACTTTCATGTTCTTTAAAATTCACATTGCAGGTGTGATATAACGACATGTAGATGGCGCTCGGAGAACACATGTTTTTGAAATATAATACGATAATTCTTCAGTTAATTAATGCTTAAAATAATAACGACGACAAGTTATTCCTTTCGAATATACGTCTAGATTTAGAAAATATAACTGCCGCAGAGGGGGTCTATAGCCTATAACACCCTCAACCATTTGGAAGGAACTAGAAAAATTCTAAAATCATTCCGCCGAAAAAATACCGATGAAAACCTTTATATAGGGGCTATACGAAGAGGTCCACGCATAACTAATTCTTTTTCATAGGTACTGACTCCGAACTGTTCAAGGGGAAAAAAATTCGTAACTTGAATCAAAAATGTGTCCAATAGAAAATTTTAAATGTTTATATTAAAAAGTGTGGCTAAAATAATGAAAATACCAAATATCGGGATGTTCCGTTATTTGAAGGCTGTATGAAGAATTGGACCAATTAAGACAAGTTTCGGTTCCCATTACGAAATATTGAGGTTTATACCAAGTCGTGGACCTACATGTCCCATTTGCCGTACAAAACAAGTCAAAATGCAGCTAAGTTCGGCAGGGCCGAACTTTCCACCATTTGGAAGGAACTAGAAAAATTCTAAAACAGATTCCGCCGAAAATATATAAATAATATAAAAGCATCTAAAAACCTTTATTTAGGGCTATACGAAAACGAGGACGTGGTTTAAAGCCTTCCACCATTTGGAAGGAAGTAGAAAATTTCTAAAAAATTCCGCCGAACATATATAAATAATATAAATTCCTCTGAAAACCTTTATTTAGGTGCTATACGAAGACGTGGACCTGCATAAGTAATTTTTTTCATAGGTACCAATTCCGAACTTGAAATACGACCCCGAACTTAAAAACAATTCCGGTGAATTATGTTGCTAAAACCATCGGGAGGTATCGCCATAATAAAACATGGGTCTGCGTATGAAATTTTTTGTTATAGGCTGTAGTATCCATCACGATCTTCAAATGCGAATTTTCAAACAATTGCGGTAAATAATGTCGCAAAAAATTATCAAAGTTCGGAATATCTGGAGGTTCCGTTATAAAGAGGCTATACGAAAACGTGGACCGATTTTGTCCTGTTATAAACTAAACCTGTCTGCTGGCAAAATACACATGTGTGAAAAATGATAGTCTTATATCTCAACATATCTTCGTTAAGAAGTTGATAATATTTCCACAAAAGGACAGACAGGCAGGCGGGAATTGATGCTGATCAAGAATTTATATACTTTACGGGGTCTAAATGCTTATTTGGTAAATTGTACATATATTTTGTAGTGTATTGACCGCGACATACGTAATTATGTGACATGTAGATGGCACTCGGTCATAAGTCTATAACAAAATTTCAATGGCTATGAGTAAAACAGTAGTCCATTCCAAAATAATCTCACAAAAGTAAAATACCACAAATTCCTCATTCGCTATACAAAAAAAAAAAAACTACAATTGGTTATCGCCCACTTCAACAATAATTAAGCCATTTACAGATGAAAGCGGTAAATCGTGTCATCTTTTATTCAACTTTCTGCCGCCTTCTATTCAAATTCGCATGTCGTGCTTTAACACGTTATTTTGAATTTCGAAAGATTTCCATGGCTCAGAAAAAAAACCAATTGAGGATTGATGCTGTAGGGAATCAGACACAAAATTTACAGTTACACACGTAAACGAAAATAAAGGCGGAATAAAGCCCGCACGAGCCGAGGAGAAGAAAAAAGAAAAAAAGTTATAAATAAAATCAACATAACCGGCAATATAAGGTTTCAGTGTCTTTTGACAGTTGCGGTAAAGCCAAACATCAAATGGGACATAAATACATCAGGGCCGGAGCACAACAACAATAACCACATCCGCAACAATGTTGTGCAGCAATAAAATAAATAATCAATCGGTCATAAAATGTTTGATAATTGTGACATTTATGGCAGCTGCTGGAGTTACGCAAATTGAAGGTATTTGAAAATAATGAATTGAATTCAGTTTCCAACGAATAATGCGTATTTTTTTATGATTCCCTAGGAAAACAGCTGTCATTAGTGCCACTCTCCGCCCCAGATGTATACAAAATTCTGGGAGAAGGTCGTAATTTGGATATCAATCCCGAGGGTAAGACAGTGAGTCATGCCTTGGCTGCGGGAGCTGGCTTTGCAGCAGGTGTTGCCAATGGCTTAACCGGTGTATTGTTGCTGCAAGTGTTAACTGCCAACATTACGGATCCAGATGAAACCACTCTTGCCCCCACTGCAACCGAACCACCGGCAACCAAGTTTTATGCCGCAAAGGAGATTTGTTTTGGTTCACGTTCACCGCGAAGACTTCAAGATATGGAATACACCACAGAAGAAGAAGAAGAAGACAATGGCTTTTTAGATTACGATACAAAATCACCAAGCAGTCATGTTCGAAAAACTAAAACCAAAAGACGTAGACGACCTTTAAGGCAACATAGTTTCCATTCGAATTCGCGGAAAAGCAACTCGGCAGATTCTCGTGGTAGGAGAAGGCGAAGGAGACCTTCAAAGCCAGCGAAATTCGATTTGGCACGATTTCTGACTTATCCAACTACAACTTCCTATGAGGCCCGCACACCAGACCAAGCAATTACTGCCACAGGAACTGGCACTGGAACGATTGCGGGTAATGCCACGCCCATCACTTGCGTTGTTGTCGAAAAGCCAGCTGAATAAAATTTATTTTGAAACTTGGTATTGATGAACTGTGTTGATGTGGTTTTTGAGGTAGGTAAGTGGCAAATGGTGACTGGGAGGAAAGATTTGCGCTTTCAAATTAAAGAGAGAGAGAGAGAGCCATATGGCCTTCACACGTAGACATTTTGACCTTTACTGTTGGTATTAGTGTTCTGTAACTACTCCCGCAAGCTTGACCGATACCTTCCAAAGGGTGAAGTTAATAATTTTCCAAAAAATTGAGACTCTTATAAAAGTGTAGCCCACGGATTAACCGGCCACTTAAATTCATAAATATTTTAAAAATGGGAAACATAAAATCTGAATATTCTCAATTAATTTTTTTTAATGAATACTTCAAATTTTGGAAGCGAATATCTCCACCATTCTCATTACACCTTAATTTAATGCGGTCAACATGTGCCTCCTTGACCCTATTTCAGGACATTTAGTTGACGATTAAGTTCTACCATCCAGCTTCCAAATATTCATGACACACATAGATAAGGTGCGAAAAAGGATACTATAAGTTCACCTTTTCATGGATTTTTTAAGGATTTACTGGTCAGGAAATGCGTATTTTGAAAAAAATAATTGATAGGAACTCCTCTTAGACTTTTAAAAAATATTTTTTTTAAGTTCTCCACCATTAAAAACCGTGGATATTAAAAAATTTGTTCACAGGATCGTCAATAGCTTACTGCCCTCAAGGACCCCCTAAGTAAAAAACTAGCCAAAAAACATATATTTTTAAAGAAATCTTTTCGAAACTCCTAACAAGGTCTCTTTGATTTTGCAATGACATTTTAAAAGCACTCCCTTAAGGAATAACCCTTGATCTTTTAAAGAAATTTTTACGTAAATACTCCGACAAAAATGTTGAAAGCAAGCAAACTTTTTTTCGATATGATTTCAGGGATTCTCTGTATTTTCAAGGATTCTGTGACCAAAAAACGTCAATTTTTTAAGAAAATTTTGAAGGACATTTGGAGCAAAATTCGTGGTCTTTTTCAAAGAATTTCTGTGATTTCAGGATTTCTCTGTATTTTCAAGGATTCTGTGACCAAAAAACGTCAATTTTTTAAGAAAATTTTGAAGGACATTTGGAGCAAAATTCGTGGTCTTTTTCAAAGAATTTCTGCAAGGACTTTGAACAAAAATACGAAGACTTTAATAAGGGGATAATTAAAGAAACTTTTTCAGGAACTACCACACCAACACATGTGGATTTTTTTTAAGATATACTGAAAAAAAAATCCAGGTTTAAAGACATTTCTTCAAGGGAAACTTAAAAAAACCGAATAAACGCGGATTTCTCACAGATTTTTTTAACGAAGAACCTGACTAAAATTCCCGATTTAAAAAAAAAACTGATTTTTTTAAGAAATTTTTTACTGACTTCCTGAAAAAAACTAAAAACTAAATAAAAAACTAATTTCTGAATATTGTTTCTATGAACTCGTGAAAAAAATAAAATAAAATCAAGGACCACTGGTGACTTTTAAATTTTTTTTCAAGATTCTCTCTCGGAGATTTTTAATATTTTTTAAGTACTTCTTAATTTTGTAAATAAAGTTTTTCAGGAACACCTAGGCCACACAGACTTCCTGACTTAAAATAAAAGGATTTTTTAGAATTTTTTTACGACCCCTGAAACATATTTCGTGGATATTTGAGAGAAAAATGTTCAAGGACCATTGATGATTTGTAAGACATTTTTTAAAGATCTATGGATCGAAATACGCAGGTTTTCTTGAATATTTTTTTAAAGATTTCTAGGTTTTTTACAAGGACTTCCTGCTTTGTAGACGCAATTTTTCAACCGCAAAAACCTGAATATTATAAAGATATAACTTTCCGGCCTTCCTGACCAAAACGAGCGGATTTAAAAAAAGTATAAGGACTCCCTAATTAAAAATGTCGATATTTAAAAAAAAAAACTTGAGCAAAAGTTCCCTTACCTAAATCATGATTTTTTTTTAAGAATTTTTTTCAAAAAAAGGTCTGATCGAAAAAAAAATTAATTTCACGAAAAATGATCAAAAATTTTGAATTCTCTGCAAGGATTGTTAAATGACCTTCCTGACAAAAAGTGATTTTTTTAAGAATATTTTCAAGGGCCGAAAATCGATTGACAACCAATGGCTGATTTTTAACAACCCTCGGTAAAGAGGTGAGATTTTTTTAAGAATATCTTTCGAAGAAAGCATAGCTTTTTTAATTTTTACAAGAACTTCCTGATCCAGAATGTGGAATTTCAAGGAATTCGTGGTCAAAAAAAATTGTTTTCATAAGAAACTTTTAAGGACTTCTTGTCCCATAAACGTGGATTTTAAAAATTTCAAGGACTCCCTAGCCGTTATAAGAGTACTTTTTAGGAATTTTTTCAAAGCATATTTAGCCAAAAATGTGTATTTTTCAAAGAAAAAAATTAATAAATTTCCAATTCAAAAAAATTTGTTTTCTTTCAAGAATAATATTCAAGGACCTCCTGACTAAAAACGAGGATTTTCAGAAAATTTTCTCTCAGACTTTCAAACTCAACTCAACCTAGATTTCTCAATGACACTTCCTAAAGAGAGATTTTCAAATACTTCCTAACGTGGATTTTTTAAGTAAAAAACATAAATTTGTTTTTGCGAATATTTGAAATGGAAACTTGAGTGTTTTTACGCTTTCTTGGCAGGACCTCCGGAGTAAAACACGCAGATTTTGTAAATAAGTTAATCAAGTATCTCCTTATATATATGAATTTTTAGTATATTTTAAAGCAGCTCCAAAATAAAAAACGTAACATATGTTCCTAATGACGACAGGAACGTACATTTTTAAATAAAAAATGTGCTAGGATTTTCCGCGCCTTGATTAAATTTTGAACTAATTTTAGGAATATTTTTAAAATTGATTGGTTCGTTGACTCTTCAAAATACATTCCTCTTCAAGTTATGGATTTATTAAATACTTTTTCCACGACCTCCTGGCAAAATTAAGGAATCCCATTTTTTAAGAACAGGCACCAGATCGTGGTTGAAGGGTTATTCAAAACTTTCTGGCCAAAAAAAAGTTTATGGCAAAAAATCATGATGTTTTTTATTAATAATCACTACCTTTTGTTCTATGTATATATACGAACCATATCTGATGTTACCAGCCTGGTGATAATCCTGATTCTTATTAGTTTTTTGATATCTTGTAGTATTCTCCAAATTTTTAAACAGATTCTTCTTTAATTTATTTAGATTTTCTGTTTAATTTTTCTCTTAAATGCCATATTTATTTTGGGTACATTTCAGTTCTATTCTACCTCTTCCTCAGTTGTATTACTCTGTTGACATTAAACGAGGTTGCGTCGTGTAAACATAGTATGATGAAATGAAAGCTAATTAAACAGAGGGGTCATTAAGAGGTACAACTAACACAGGAGGATGTTCTTGTTGTTGTTGTTAAGCACATGTTGAATTTGTGTGAGTAAACCTCACGAACATGTCGCACGCACACACATATACATATGAATTTACGTGAACATATACACATAACCTCAATCATCCTCTAATGCGGTAAAATATGAGCACATCTTTTAAGAGGAAACGGAAATGTCTATAAATATACAGTTGTACAAAGATTTGCATGAAAGTATTGACGCACACATACATACCGTTTGCTTGGATTATCAAAATAAAGTTGGCATCGTTTCGGCTTGAAAAGAAGTGGGACTGCAAAATGAAATTGAAAAACTGGAACATTACAAAAATAAAAGATATTTTAGGTAAACGTAAGTGTTGTGGAAAAGTGTTGAACCTAGGTATTCTCTTATTTTAAAATTGTGAAATAATTTATGTTAGGTCCTAGGGCTATTTTGGTAGCATCAGTTGTGAAATCGACGATTACCAGGAACTGTAAATTTTTAAGTTTATTTTTATACCCTCAGCCATATGGCTAGAGAGGGTATACAAGGTTGCCCATATTCGACAGACCTTTGGGCCCATTCCAATCGACGAGGCTTGTCCGCAGGCAACATTTTTTGCGGCAATTGAATTTTTGTACGGGAACAAATGCAAATCAATGCGAATAATCCGTTGTAAAGTGGACCGAACCATGCCCAACTGCTGAGAACGGCGTTTTTGGGATGTTCTTGGGGACCTCTCAACACTAGCTCGTACGGCAGCGATATTCTCGGCCGATCGCCTTGGTCGACTTTTATATGGCCTCTTCGGATTAGAAAGAGCCTTACCAGTCGATAATTTTTAGTATATTTCAGAGCGCTCGCGTGGCGTGTATTGGTTCATGGTAAAAATCTGCTTGGACTGACGCTTCAAACGCGGTATGTCATTAAGCGATGTGACATCTCTGTCAAAAGTTATGGCGTTGCCAGATGGGTCCGTCGAATATGGGCAACCCGGTATATCATTTGATAGGGCCAAAACGTGCCTCATTGAAATAACAATTTTTGACCCTAGGACTCTTTTCACCAAATCCGTTTCAGGACATTTGGAGTCGATAGCGATGTCCGTCCGCATGACTAGCTGCCTGGTGCCTACGATTACTCGAAGAGAGTTTCCGATTTGGCTCAAACTTGGTACATCGTAATATTAATATCAAACTTAGATCGGTTTCGGAGATGGGCAATTTCTTTTGGAACCTCTTTCACAAAATGGCAATATTATCATAGAAACTAATCTAGTGCACAGAAAGAAAGGCACAAGAGAAAGGATAATCCGATTTTGCTCCAACTTTGGAAATTCTAATATTTGCATCAGTGCTAGGTGAGGTGCAAAAATGTACAATATCAGTTTACTCCATCAAGTACCTGCCCCACAAAGAAATTGCACATATCACATAATATTTATTAATCCAAGGTTTGGTGTGAAAATGGAATATTTTGGTTCACTCCTACTGGTACCTCTCCCACAAAGGGTCAAAATTTGGAATATTCATGAAGCTCATAAAACGCGAAATTAATATCCGATTTCAATCAGACTTGGTACGTCTCAGTATTTTCA